ATATTTACATTGGTTTATCTTTTCTGCTAAAATACGCCAAAATGCTCTATTTTTAATTGTAAAAATACCCGAAACCGTAGGTAAAAAACTTGAGTCAATCCTTGTTTTCGTTCTCGATGTATTCATACGCCTTATTGTCACGTGACAAACTACAGTTATTGGAAAATAAACGCCGGTTTGGCTAACTGGTTTATTGAAGGGAGTGACAGTAGAAATGTAAATATTTTTGAATAAATTCCTTTCAAACGTATCGAATCAGAAAACACAACATAGAATTAAAACTTAATTTCACAAGCTGAACGTTTAAAGGAAGATAACCCAGATATTATTGCAACTGAAACATTTTTACCGACAATCGCTTTTAATGTAGGTGAAGAGTTTACCGATAACATCATAAACGAAACAAAGTTTTTACGCTTTTACCCATCTTTTATCGACCGAATTCTCGTTATACCGACAAGTTCAGTAGGAGTGGTGTATTAATACATCTCACATAGAGCATAGAGTTTCAGGGATTTCTGTAAGATGTAATGCAATATTTTGAACGAGTTTCGTGTTCATATTGTTTGGCCAGTTTGGATAGCAGTGACATCATGAATATCTGTTACCTCAGTCCCAAACACAAAGTCAGCAATGAAAGACGGTAGAAATTTGTTATAGCCTTACCCTAACCCTGAAACATAGAAAATTATAATCTATTTTTAAACATATTTAAAATTGGCGTAGATTATAGAATTTAATTTTCCACTTTTAATTCATTGTTATCTTTCCGATAAATTTGGAAAAATGATAAAAAAAAATCACAGATTGACTGAGACTCGAACCTTCCAACAACTTTTGACAGTTTTTTTTTAATTATATTTTATAAATCTTAATACCATGATTTCAAATCTATACAAACAAAAGATTTTAACCAAAAGTCAGGATGGCGTCAGCGGTCATTAACCTCTCTCCTCCGATTTCCGGAAGAGGAGAAGTCAAACATTTCAACGCTAATGAAAGGTTACAGTAAGTAAACGAAGTAACCACTTGACTGAGCCTGACTGAAGATTAAGGAAATAAATTGATATACAATGAATAGAAATTGTTATCTTATGATGATCTAATTTAGTGATAACAAATTTATGTAGGCTATAAGATTGAAGCAAACAAATCTTCAACTGCTCGGAACCAGTCCCAATTACAAAGAAATTCCCGTTGGAAAGATTGCAATTTCTCCTACATATAGTACTGATATATAACGACAAATTTTATAACAAATATTTAATAAAATTGTTAAAATAACAAGACACTTCTACAAAATGTATAAAACCTTAGAATATTGACAATGAAATATAAATTTACAAATATTAACAATAAAATACAAATAAGCCAACTACTAACGATGATATACATATATTGAATAATGAATAAATGAATAATCTTACCTTATTATAATTCTAGAAAATACAATAAATAAACCAAGTACCACAGAACAATAATAAACACAGGACATAAATATTGACAAAGAAATATAAACTTACTTATATATACAATAGGATTGCAAAATTGAACAAATTGGAAAGATGAAGATT